ATATATATATATGTCGTACCTAGTAGCCAGAACGCACTTCTCAGCCTACTATGCAAGGCCCGATTTGCCTAATATGCCAAGTTTTCATGAATTAATTGTTTTTCGACTACCTAACCTACCTAACCTAACCTAACCTAACTTTTTCGGCTACCTAACCTAACCTAGCCTATAAAGATAGGTTAGGTTAGGTTAGGTAGGGTTGGTTAGGTTCGGTCATATATCTACGTTAATTTTAACTCCAATAAAAAGAAATTGACCTCATACATAATGAAATGGGCAGCTTTATCATTTCATAAGAAAAAAATTAGAGAAAATATATTAATTCAGGAAAACTTGGCTTATTAGGCAAATCGGGCCTTGCATAGTAGGCTGAGAAGTGCGTTCTAGCTACTAGGTACGACATATATATATATATATATATATATATATATATATATATATATATATATATATATATATATATATATATATATATATATATATATATATATATATATATATATATATATATATATATATATATATATATATATAAATATATATATATATATATATATATATATATATATATATATATATATATATATATATATATATATATATATATATATATATATATATATATATATATATAAATATATATGTGTGTATATCACGAAAATAAACACGTGATTAAGAATGTGACAATGTCAGACCACGAAGGAAAAATGAAACAGGAAATTTCCTGTTTCATTTTTCCTTCGTGGTCTGACATTGTCATAAATATATATATATATATTGGTGTATACTGGCAGCAGGTTTTCTTTCAAACATGTTTCATTGAATATGACCGCATATTCTGTATTTATTATTTTCTGGTTTAGGGCTTCTATCCCTCTAACTATTTTCTTAGCATCAGGGCTTAATTGAAATAGGAGTTCTCCAAAACTCATTTTCGTACTTTTAAGGTGAAGAAAAGAAGTGATTTAAAGAAAAGAAGTGAATTAATATATATATATATATATATATATATATATATATATATATATATATATATATATATGCAAACAAGCCTGAATGGTCCCCAGGACTATATACAACTGAAAACTCACACCCCAGAAGTGACTCGAACCCATACTCCCACAACTGGTATGTACAGGGACGCCTTAATCCGCTTGACCATCACGACCGGACATAAGGAAGTGATAGCCGAGGCTATATGAACCACTTCCCCGCCGGCACTTATTTGTGTTCCTCACGTGTGCCCCAAAGAATGAGGTGATTTGATAAAATGCTATGCCCAAGATTACCATCCGAGTGCCGGCGGGGAAGTGGTTCATATAGCCTCGGCTATATGAACCACTTATGTCCTTATGTCCGGTCGTGATGGTCAAGCGGATTAAGGCGTCCCTGTACATACCAGTTGTGGGAGTATGGGTTCGAGTCACTTCTGGGGTGTGAGTTTTCAGTTATATATATATATATATATGCAAACAAGCCTGAATGGTCCCCAGGACTATATACAACTGAAAACTCACACCCCAGAAGTGACTCGAACCCATACTCCCACAACTGGTATGTACTTGTTTGCATTTGTGTTCCTCACGTGTGCCCCAAAGAATGAGGTGATTTGATAAAATGCTATGCCCAAGATTACCATCCGAGTGCCGGCGGGGAAGTGGTTCATATAGCCTCGGCTATCACTTCCTTATGTCCGGTCGTGATGGTCAAGCGGATTAAGGCGTCCCTGTACATACCAGTTGTGGGAGTATGGGTTCGAGTTTGTTTGCATTTGTGTTCCTCACGTGTGCCCCAAAGAATGAGGTGATTTGATAAAATGCTATGCCCAAGATTACCATCCGAGTGCCGGCGGGGAAGTGGTTCATATAGCCTCGGCTATCACTTCCTTATGTCCGGTCGTGATGGTCAAGCGGATTAAGGCGTCCCTGTACATACCAGTTGTGGGAGTATGGGTTCGAGTCACTTCTGGGGTGTGAGTTTTCAGTTATATATATATATATATATATATATATATATATATATATATATATATATATATATATATATATATATATATATATATATATATATATATATTAGGACTAGGCTGGTTAGGTTAGGTGTTTTTATCTATAAAAGTAGATCAGTGTCAAAGTTGAATGGGAATCTAATTCCCTCCTTCCTTTTCTTGACGTTCATGTTCACACCTCTGTGTCGGTTTCTCTTTTCCTGTCTTCCGCAAACCCATGCACAGTGGTATGTACATTCACTTCTGTTCCTGCGATCCCCTTTCTGTTAAGGAAAGTGGTCTCGACTCTCTCGTGCTCCGTGCTCATAGAGCACGGAGCAAGAGAGCATCAGTGACCCTCAGTTTCTTGATTCTGAAGTTTCCTTTATTTGATAATGATAATATTTACTTATATGACAATTTAAAGGTTTACAAATCATTATCTCGCCTTGGTTATCCCTTACATTATATCAACTGTGCCTATTCTCAAGGTAAACGATTTTTTTACATCCCAAATCTGTCTGTTTCCAACAGTAGTGCCCCTGTGCTCTGTCTTCACTTCATATCTGAAGTCATAAATCTCTCGAATACCCTTCGTTCTTTTGATACAGAACTCACCTTTCGACAGACTAATACACTTCGTAGTAATCTTGTTCACACTGCTCCTGTTTCCAGTGCTGTTGGTGTCAACTCCCATTTCCTGTTCGTCTTGTCCTCTCCAATACTTTGGGGAAAATGACTGTTCACTAAATGAAAGACTTTTGAAACACAAAAAATGTTTTAAGCCTGCAGACACAGACAATGTTCTCTTCTGTTATGTTAGGGATTCTAATCATCCTATAGACAAGTCTTCTGCTAAAATAATCTTTCCTCTTCACAGGCGCCGTCTTATCGCCTCTGATACACAACCTACCCAACATAAACCTTAGTCCAGGCTTTGTTGCTGTTGACTCTTCCCTTTCACATTACAAACTCAAATGTTCCAACCATCCTAACAAACTTGACCTAACTTAGCCTACTCCTCGTTCTTACCTTTATTTTACCTTTCTCTTATTATTACCTCATCTAATTCTTACCTTCATCCCATTCTTACATTCATCCTATTCTTACCTTTCACCTTACTCTTACCATACTTCTTGACTGCTCCTCACCTCACACTTTCCTTTTTTACTTTCCCGTACCTACGTCTCATTGCCCATAACTTTCTCATCATCATCATAAAAGGAAGGGATGAAGTACGCCTTACACCCAAATGCTACAGATGCAACTGGAAAATTAATGAACCCACAGATTTGGAATGTATCTTCTGCCAAACAATCACAGAAAAGCCATTACTTCACTGTCTCCTCGAATGTCAAGCAACCAACGACCTAAGAAGTGCTTTAAGAGTCCCTGAATCCTGAAGTAACCACCCTGAAGCCATAAATACTATCAAGCAGTATCTTCCCCCGCGATAGCAGCCTGACGATTTAAATGCGACATAAGCACACAGTATACATTCACTAAAAATGAAAAGTAAAATCCACCACTTATTCATGCCCGTGCCACCTCCTGTGTGGCTTAATCTTCATCACTCAGTCAATCGTCTCTTCTATCACAAGACTTGATAATGGTCCAGGATAGATCGGTACGTCGTCGTCTCTCCATCTTCTGATGTGTGGTTTGGTCATCATATCTTCAGCCACGTTATTGTGACTCATCGTCTGCATAAGTAGCAAAACTTTTCCGGTTCGTGCAAATGCAATAATACATAAGTTTACTTTCTATTGGTCCATCATGTCCATAGTTGTACGATCGACTGCATCGTTACAAGTATAACTACTATCATTTTTGGAGGATAGCCTGCAAAATCCATCTACTAATCTTGTGTCAAACTTAAATGTCTATCTAAATCATCTTGTCTTCGCCGTATATAACTACTAACATGGGATATTGATTGGCTGTGCCCGGGTCTCTTACACCCATTACCTACCATTTTCTTCTCTCTCTCTCTACCCCCTGTCTCATCTCTTTCTCTCTACCCCCCTCTCTTCTCTCTTTCTCTCTACCCCCTCTCACATCTCTTCCTCTCTTTTTTTCAACCCCCCCCCCCGTCACATTTTTCCCTCTCTACTCCTTCTCTCATCTCTTCCTCTCTACCTCCTCCCTCTGATCTCTTTCTCTCTACCCTCTCTCTCATCTCTTCCTCTCTACCCCCCCCCCCCTCTACCCCCTCTGTATCCTGTCTTTATCTTTACCCCCTCTCACATCTCTTCCTTTCTTCCTTATCGCCTATCTACCCTTTCCCTTCTCCTCTGCTCTACCTTCTTCTCAATCTTTCTCCCCCAGCATTCATCTCTCTTATTCTCCAGCCCTCTGCACCCTCTCTCCCAATCTTCCTTTCCCTTTTCTCCTTCTCTCTTTCGCCTTCTTCCCTCCAACATCTCACCTCACTCCTTCCCTCTCCTTTTCCCCCTTTCCTCTCTTTCTCCTACCCCTTTCCCCCTCTCCTCTCTCCCTCTCATTCTCCCCTTCTTCCTGCCCCCTCCTTGCCCCTATTTTATCCTGGTAAACGGTGGGAATTAGCATCAAAACTCTGGAAAAAACAACCCAGATTTGGTTTCAAACTTTATGAAAATCGCATGAGAGGAGGGGGAGGGCACCTAGCATCCCTAGCCTAGCACTAACATCCCTTAAGCCTAGCACTTGAGCCGACACCGACTGGCTTATGGCACCATGTTTCATGAGTGTAAGTTGGATGAGGTCACCAAGCATCTGATATCTAACTTCGAACATTCTATTTTATTGATATAGATAGATATGTAAATTTCCTAATACTGCCGTTTAAATAAACCTCTCAAAACACGGACCTAGGGAACTACACTGCCCACTCAAACTTCACTTATTTAGTGCTAATGTTATTTTTCTTAAAATAAGCATGCCTTAACCCGACTAAGGATACCTCCTATCACCCCTGCAGTAACATGTGCCTCTAATTATATAATAAATTTTCTCTAGGGAAGTCAAACACTGGTTATGTTTGGTATGTTTATTTTATGAAAACTAATTAAGTTTTTCCAATTATACGTACCTTTTTAACGGTTATACATTATTTTCTTTCGTTTGTATATTACTTGCTGAAAGTTATGCTTTGTTACAAGTATTTGTTACAAAGACAAATACTTATTACATTATTTGTTACACGTTATACATTATTAGCTACAAGTTATTCTTATTTGCTACAAGTCATACGTAATTTCATTTAATTTACATATTGTTTGTAGCACGTTACGCATTATTATTTTCAAGTGTATACAATATTAGCTTCAAGTTATACACATTTGATTTAAGGTATTAATGTTTTTCCGTCAAGGGAAAAAAAATAAGTGTATGGCCTGCATTGTTTGCACCAACATCAGGTGCAGTGTGCCAGGTGCAGGAGGTTGCACTACTGTTAGTAGTAGATATAAGTACAACTGAGGGACCCAAGGGTAGATAATGGTCCCAGGGAAGGGTATTAGTGCCGGATAGGTGGTGGGAGTATCTATTGGTCCTGATAGGAGGCATGTCACACCAATTGTTTCCAGGTAATTGGTAGCATAAGTTGAGTGGGTGGAGGAGTGAGTTCAGTGGGTGGTGAGCTTAATGCAGTGGTTGGTGGACTTTGTACAGTGGGTGGTGGGGGCAGTCAGTGGGTAAAACACAGTAAGGATAGGCGGGATCCGTGTTAAATACATAGGATTCTGGGCAAGTCTGAACGGTGGCTGACTGACCAATGTTGAGACAGTTAAAGAACTGCTGGTCACATGTAGTGCACTTGGGGAATAACCCCACTTCCGTGCACGTCATAGATTCCTCACAGTTAGGAGTTGGAATGGTCGTACTTCCCCCGGGGGCCGTAGTCTTACCACACAGTATGTTACAAGGGGCGCCAGCCACACAGCGACCCGTGGTTAGGTCAAAATTAGAACCTGAAGCGCAGGTTTTATGTGCCTCCTCAGCAGCTAGCCCTGTTTGGTCACATATAAAATATCTGGTGCAGTCGTAGGGGTCGGGAATCTCAATATTCGCTTCAAAGCAGAAAGCAAGGCAGGGGTCCGTGCAGCACGACTCCTTTTGCGGGACGCAAAATGTTCCGTTAAAGTAGGGAATATTCACGGGGCATTCAAAAGGCCCCACAGGGTCAACTCCCATGCAAACGTAGAAGGTGTTGCAATCATACGGGTTAAAGATCTCACCAACGCCTGTGCCACATTGATATGTGCAGTTAGGTGGTAGCTGGCAGGGAGGCTCACAAGGTGTCGGAGCAGTACAACCTGGGGGTGTTCCCGATGCGTTGAAGGATGTATTAGGTGGACAAGCCTCAGGAGAGTCCGAGGGCGTGCCATCTGCTAAACAAACGTAATATTGAGTGCAGTTGAGAGGATCAGCAACCATACTCAAAGCTGGTAAGGAACTACAGTCTGGCTCACAGACTCCAGCAGCGAGGCCGCAGAGCAGCGCCGCCACCCACGCCACCTGCAGCAGACAACCGGCCAGGTTAATGTTCCTGCTGAAACTGTCAGTGATAAGCAATATAAAGCAATTCAACATTCCTATACTGCATAATAGAAATCACAGATAATTTTGGTAAGCACTGGATGAGAGATATTGTTGTTATAGATGTAAGTGTTGTCAAGGTTGTCTGGTATTATAATAGTTGTCAACGCTGTTAGTATTGTCAGTGTTGTTATAGTTGTCAGTGTTGTTATAGTTGTCAGTGTTGTTATAGTTGTCAGTGTTGTTATAGTTGTCAGTGTTGTTATAGTTGTCAGTGTTGTTAGAGTTGTCAGTGTTGTTAGAGTTGTCAGTGTTGTTAGAGTTGTCAGTGTTGTTATAGTTGTCAGTGTTGTTAGAGTTGTCAGTGTTGTTAGAGTTGTCAGTGTTGTTAGAGTTGTCAGTGTTGTTAGAGTTGTCAGTGTTGTTAGAGTTGTCAGTGTTGTTATTGTTGTCAGTGTTGTTATTGCTGTCAGTGTTACTAATGTTGTCAGTGTTATTATAGTTGTCTGTGTTGTTATAGTTGTCAGTGTTGTTATAGTTGTCTGTGTTGTTATAGTTGTCTGTGTTGTTATAGTTGTCAGTGTTGTTATAGTTGTCTGTGGTGTTATAGTTGTCTGTGGTGTTATAGTTGTCTGTGTTGTTATAATTGTCTGTGTTGTTAGAGTTGTCTGTGTTGTTATAGTTGTCAGTGTTGTTATAGTTGTCAGTGTTGTTATAGTTGTCAGTGTTTTTATAGTTGTCAGTGTTCTTATAGTTGTCAGTGTTGTTATAATTGTGAGTGTTGTTAGAGTTGTCAGTGTTGTTATAGTTGTCAGTGTTGTTATAGTTGTCAATGTTGTTATAGTTGTCAATGTTGTTATTATTGTCAGTGTTGTTAGAGTTGTTAATGCTGTTATTATTATCAGTGTTGTTAGAGTTGTCAGTGTTGTTATAGTTGTCAGTGTTGTTATAGTTGTCAGTGTTGTTATAGTTGTCAGTGTTGTTATAGTTGTCAATGTTGTTAGAGTTGTTAATGCTGTTATTATTGTCAGTGTTGTTATAGTTGTCAGTGTTGTTATAGTTGTCAATGTTGTTATAGTTGACAGTGTTGTTATTGTTGTCAGTGTTACTAATGTTGTCAGTGTTGTTATAGTTGTCTGTGGTGTTATAGTTGTCAGTGTTGTTATAATGGTCAGTGTTGTTATTGCTGTCAGTGTTACTAATGTTGTCAGTGTTATTATAGTTGTCAGTGCTGTTATTGTTGCTAGTGTTCTTAAAGTTGTCAGTGTGGCAACTGCTGTGAGTGATGATATTTCTGCCTGTGTTGGTATTGTTGTCAGTGTTGTTATAATTGTCACTTTTCTTATTGCTGTCAGTGTTGATATTACTGCCAGTGTTTCTATTGTGGTCATTGTTGATATTGCTGCCAGTGCTGCTATTGTTGTTCTGAATAGTTCAGTGATTTATTGAGCAATCAACCACAGGTGTTGATTGTAGTGTTTTTAAAATGCTAATTTAGTCTACATACATACATATATCCGTGATGAGAATTTGAACCTATGTGCTGGTTCAACGCACGCTCTAGACAACTATGCCACGAAATGGTCAAAAGAATTGCAACCTGGGGTTCAGCTGAATCCACGACGATTCCCGAGGATTCCAGTGAAGCCGAACCAAGATTTCACACAATTCCTCCATGCACTCTGACTTCGTCGTCCATTAATTCGACGTCTTACGTCCATCTTTCAGAATACAACGAAATCTCAGTGGGGAATTTTGTGAAATCCTGGTTCGGCTTCGGTGGAATCCTCGGGAATCCTCGTGGGTTCAGCTGAACCCTAGGTAGCAATTCTTTTGACCATGTCGTAGTCCAGTCGTCTAGAGCTTGCGTCTGGGAATACCCAGCGCATAGGTTTAAATCCTTATCACAGCTCCTGTGGGCGCTCTCGTTTTCAGTGTTGGTATGGTTGTCATTGTTGTTATTGTTATCAGTTTTACTATAACTGGCAGTGTTGTTATAGCTGTCAGTGTAGTTATAGCTGTCAGTGTTGTTATACCTGTCAGTGTTGTTATAGTTGTCAGTTTTGACCCAGCAGAAGATACCTGAGAGTTACTGTTATTCACAATGTTAGCGTATCTTAAAAATAGCAATAATTACATCGTTTATTATAGACTGGATGGGAGACCCGCGGTGCCCTGGTCAACCCAGGCACCCTATAAGTCTGTCACTATCTCTCATTTTCTATGTCTCTCTGTTCCGTCTGTCTGCACGTCTCTGTCTATTCTGTCTGTCTGTCTACCTTTCTCCCTCTCTTTCGCTTTGTTTCAAAAGAAATACAATTACAATTTTTATTTTTACTATTAATCTATTGCCATTATTACTAATGCTACAGTACATATTACCCTTGCCATTACTACTATTACTTTACTAGTATCAATATTCTTGCTACTACTGCTTTCTCTAATAATAATAATAAAAAAGTTAATAATAATAATAATAATAATAATTTTAATAATAATAAAAAGAAGAAGAAGAAAAATAAGAATAATATGATAAAGAAAAAGAATATATTACTCTCATAACTATGATCACTAAATATTTAGTCATCTATTCAAACATTAAGTATTATGGGGAAACTAGCTTGTGAGATTTATATTTATTTAGTTTATATTAATTTATATAGTAATCTATATTTTACGTTAATTTATATTTTGCGATAGCAAACTGTTTGATGCTTAAAGTGGACTGTATAATTTAAAATTCTAACAAATCGCATTCCTTACACATTCTGGGGTGGTTTATGGTTTATATAGTCATCAATATAAATTATTGGTTAGTAGACATTCACTACAGTATTAGACTACATATATTAGTAATTGAAATGGGGAATCTGTATTGTTGTTATATCCTAGACAACTAGTATGAATATGGGTGAACACGCCAGTCGATACACTTTGTGGATGAGGCTGGCCTCAACTCAAGTACTGGAGTACTAGGTAACTAGATTTAATTCTTCTTCCTCTTCCCCCTTCAATTACACCTGTTATAGGGCACTTACAATAATAGCAGTAATCCTTAATATGCCAGCTATATCAGGAGAAATATTAAGCAATATAAATAAAGAGATGAGAATATTGCTCACCATGTTTTTATTGCTGTCTAGTGTCCTTACCGGGTCACCTTAATCTACTTACACACAACTCGCCAGGAATATTGGGATTTATAACGGGTTTCAGCCGGAATACTTCCCTATAGTAGATGTAGTTGGTGTTGATAACGGGAACACTATTAGTCCCGTAACACTGTTGTCCAAGGGGAAATTATAGGATGCTAGATTTGCCCCAGCGAATGTTGTTAAATTAAAAGGGCGACTCCCTGAAACCCTCCTCCCACTGACGCCCTGCCTCTCTTGTCCAGATGCGCCAAGAAGTGGTGAAAAGGTTTACATTTACTCTATTTTGGTACTGATAATTAAGTTGGTTCAAGTGAAATGTTTTTATGATGTTTATAGTCCAAAGACTGATGAATTAAGGATGTTTCCCATTATTTAGCTGGTGAATTTAATAACGATGTGGCAATGATAAGCCCCGTTTTCTACTGGAGGAAATTTCCACTGTGCTCTTGTTTTCTATGAGTTATTAAAGCACTATTTCTAGGGTTAATTTGTTAGTACAATCCCAGCAGCAATATTATCTGCAAATTGTATTAAATGTTAGTAATTGGTGTCGGTTTTTCTGACAAGTATTGCATACTAGATATTTAAAAGTTTTCCTAGTTGAACTTACTAGCTAATTAGCTTTTCTGCTGAGAATTGCAAATAACCTAGATAAGGGATATTCAACACTTTTAAAATAACTAATTTTATCTGCCATAGAGTTCTCGCTATTAATTCGGGTTTAATGCCAACCAGACACACATCTGATGAAGAGGAGACCTAATGGATTAGTCTCAGTGTAATTCATCTACAGTCTCTAACAAAGGCCAGATGTAGTTGGTCTGTGGGTATTTTACAAAGTCCACAACACAACTCGTCCTCCTAAGGTTTCCCAATGTCAAGAAACTATCGTACTAAAGTGCCCTTATCTTAACCTACTCGATGACCCAAAACAGAAAACGGGACAGAATGTTAACTTCGAAAGCCGTTACCATTTTCTAATATGACAATTTTTGGCCATAGGTGGAGTATATGTCAAAATTCGACGCTCTGTTAAGAGGATGGGTTAAAAATGCATACCCTACACGCAGCTTCTCTACAACTCAAGGTATCACATCATACAAATTTTCTTTCGTAAAATACCAAGAAACAGTGGTATTAAAATTAATTACTACAGACATAATTTTTGGTAATCACGGTAATATTTTCCTGAATTTATAAATTGACTGTAACATTATAAAAACTTTAAAAAGAACTAAAACAAATAATTTTGTTCAATTCTGCAACTTATATTGCAGCCAAACGTTAAGCAGTTCTTTTAGGCAAACAACTTATTTAAGTCCAATTGCATTTTGCCTGATTTTCTACGAATTTAAATATATGCTGCATACTTCTGTTATTTCTGGTTGACCAATATAAACTGTTGTTGCTTTGACACGTTAAAGAGACATCCTCATAGACATGACAGACATACTGAGTGATAGACACAAGCGTTTCCCTATACAGATGTAAACAAAATAGCCGCAAAATTCCTGTTAAAAGATTGTAAAAACGAATAAATCCCTTGTGGATATTCTTACCGAGAGAGACACCAGCAGCAGCTGCTTGGTCATGTTGAAGACGCTAACAGTTGACCGTAAAACGCTGTGCGCTTTGGTGAGGCTGATAACTGCTCGAAATCTATCTCCTTCTGCACGTGGGGTGTGGTGTGTCGTATAGGTGTGCACTGAGGTGGGTGCAGGTGTGTAGTAGTACCTGAACGAGATGTATTGTGGTGCCTGGAGCCAGAAGGCTGTTGTGTCTGGATGAAGCTTACTGTCGGGACGTAAGTCTATTACAGCTGCTGTTGCCTTGGAACGGACATATATATCCCCACCTCTTATCACCGAGACGCAGTTGCTACACTGGAAAAGAACCCCATTGGAATCAAACAAATACACGGAAAGAATATTTATTTTAATTGATTATTTTTGTTACTTGAAATTTTGTATACAAAATCAGTATCACTATATTCTGCACCTCTCTCTCACAATCTATTTGTTTACCTTCACCAAAACTACTCAACAACTTTATCGTGTTGCTCACTGGTCGTCCTATAAGACAGTATACGAGAGGCTTGTGGACAAAATGTATACCAGTGTGTATATATTAAGGTTCACATTTTGTGCTATTGAAATAACTCCCAAAAACTAAAACAAAAAACTAAATTAAGTTTACACACTTTCTCCTTATTTGACCTCCCTCGTAGCTACATCAGTAAACATCGAAGGAGACCTGTACACAGGTCGAGGGACACCTAGTTGTACATCTAATTATTTAGTGTGCCATTAATACTTGTCCATACATGCTTTGCTTCCAGGAAAAACACCTCTCAGTACTTAGAAACATGTCAGCCACACCTTGCATGCTCAACACTACAGCTCCCATCTCTGCCTGTTGCAACTTGCTTTCTCCATATTCACCAATGTCATTTGCGTTTTAAAAATCTTCCCCTTTATAAATCATTAAAAAATCAACCAAATTTTAAATATTTAAAATTAGGGAAAACCATAATTTAGTTTTCTTGCCTTGAACAACGTTCATTATTTTTAAAAATATTAAAATTGGATGGAAACTAACAGAGAAGTAACGATATATCACGTTCCAAAAAAGTTTTATTTGCCCATCCAAAATTAGTGCTACAAATCCTCAGCAATATTAATTCTCCTGATATAAATACTTTTGTAAATACTTTTCAGTCGCTTGTAATTAGTTACTTCTATTATGTTTTAAGTTTTCATAGCCCAAAAAATATATACGTTGTCAAAATTCAAGCATTGAACATTTGAACATGAATCATCAGTCAGGACAACCCGCCCTCTCGAATCTGTATAATACATCGCATTTTGACGTAGAAATCCCCAAAAGCCAAAAACTGACGAACTACAAATCACAGCAGCTCGTAAAATTAACGTGATGTCCCGTTTTCTATTGGTGGGTCCTCGGTTAGGTTAGGTTCGGGCAATTTAGTATAGGAGTTTAATGACGTTGTGAACTCTCGCGAGGACAGACTGGCTACAGATTCTTCCAATCTTTTGACATTCCACACAGCCTTAGAAGGCAGCCTTTCTAAATAACTCAACTAGTTTATTCGCAAATAAAACATTTTAAAAGCTCCTTTAACTTATTGTAATGAACGTGTGGTGTTTGCAAGCATTCCTTCTGGGGTATCATGGCCAGACGCGCACATTGGAACAGATATGATAATTAATGATAATGTCTACTCACAGACATAATAACATAGGATAAAAAGCCACACTTGTGAATATGTGAGCCTTATGTACAGAAATTACACCAATTCTTTCTCACTCTCCTGAGTGCTCTGCCAAGGTCTGAGTGTGTGATTAAGACGAGACTTACATCTCAACGTCTAATGATGAGACGTTGAGATTTCTCAACATATATGAGTTCCTAACATATATGACTTCGTGCCTGGATCAAGCTGTGGTGGCTGATTGAAGTTTGGTGTGGGTGATGGATTGCTTTTCCTATTGATAAATTGGCGGAAACTTTGCCAGCTGTCGTTATGATAATGATGTTATTGGAAGAGATAATGGCTGGGAAAGTTTGGTAATGATGCACATGTTGTGTGTTCTCCTGAGCCTAATATTAATAACACTCACACTCTCCATATCAACAAACATATACTTTCCCTATTCCTTTCAACACCAATCCTCCCCAGCTGCCCTCCACCCCCACACCTTCAATATCTTTCCCCTCATACACCCTTCCAAATCTTACCCTCCTACACACACCCTTCATATCTCCACCCACATACATCATCCCCCATCTCTTCCCCCCCCCACATACACCAGCCCTATCTACTGACATACACCATCACTGTTTCCTCCACTGCAATAACACCCCAAAAATGTCGATGTTTTTCTTCATCACTATCTCCATTACTGTAACCAAAAAAGTTGCACCCAGAATGTAAATATGTCATCTGAACAAATGTTTTACGTGTCACTGTCTGAATTTGTTTTTATTTTTTTATTAATACATGAGGTACATCTGCATTAGTGCAGCTACCCTAGACTATATGAAGTGGAGTACAGTGTGTCAAAAAAGCTAACTAGGTGATGCTAAAAAATCCCCATCACACAGGATGGTTTAGTCATACAGAGGCATGTGATTGGCAGTCTGCACTGGCAGACTCCAGAAGCATTTTGAGGATATCATCAACACAAGATTGAATAAGGTAGCAGTGGTAATAAAAGTCTCCATCTCGCAGGATGGTTAGTCATACAGGGCCATATGTTTAGTAGCCTGCACTGGCAAATTTTGGGTACATTGTGAGGATATCTTCAAGAATACGAGAATGAATAAGGTAATTGCAAAGCTCCAGGTACCTCATGCCAACTGGTCTGAAAGGTCTAATAACTGGGCATTCGGTGATGTAGTGAGGGAGATCGTGCCGTAGTTCCTGCTCACAGAGTTTGCAACTGGAGTTCTCAGGATTGGGAGATCCGTCACCTGCCACAGGTAACGGTAACCTAGCCTGATTCTTGCAACCACTGTGTCGCACAGTCTAGTGGACGTTTTGTGCTGCCCATAGATATAGGTTTCAGATCTGAACAGATCATAGCTTTTTATACTAGTACTTTCAGGTCGTTGGGAGTCAGTAATTTCTTTCCTATCAGATCTGAGTGTTTGGACCAATACAGGTTTGACAGCAGAGATGGGGATACCTAGATCTAATTCAACTTCATCCTTGTTACACGCTAATTTGGCTGCAATGTCTGTCTCATTATGATGGGTTATATTTATATGTGAAGGTATCCATAGAAAGGAGATTCGAGACCCTTTACTCTGTGCAGCAATTAGGTCATTTATAATTGGGAGTATGAGGTTCTTGCTGTCGATCATCCAAGAGAAGTTTTCGATTGCTTGAAGAGCAGACTTTGAATTACAAAATATTATTCCTCCTCCAATGTTTTTTAATGTACCGGTAGCTAGGTGTAATGCTGCTAGTTCTGCTTGTGTGGAGGTCAACCAGTTGTTTAACCTGGCACTGACAGTCTTTGTGCAAATATTATTTCTATAAAACCTACACGCTGCTGCAGTCCGTCCAGTAGAAGATTGGACTGAGCCATCGGTGTAGACACAGTGCTCGTGAGATCTTAAATTCTCGATGGAGGAGGCAATTGTTTCAAGTGTGACAGCTTTGAGAAGAGCAAGATTCTCATTATCTTTCTTGGTGACAGGTGTGTATGATACTTGAATGGTGGGGTACAGATAGAGAGGAATATCAGAGACAGGTAGATTGCACTTGAAAGGAATGTTAAGTTTAATGAGATTGTAGGCATTGTTGCTCAGCCATTTATCATAAAAGGAGTGAGTTGGTATATCGGCACCGGTCAATAGGGTGTTAACAGCCCTAAATAATTAGTCTCTGAGCAATGCAGGAGATGTAGGGTCTCTCATGTCTTTAGGGCAAAAGGTAGTGTTGACTTGCATGATTCTCTCTAGTATGGTTGGAAGCTTCAGTTCTTCCCGCATGTTGATGATTCTTGTGCATCTTGGAGCACCAAGAATTATCCTCATGGCTTCATTCTGTACTACTTCAAATTTGTCCAACACAGAGGAGGAGAAATTAATTAAGTGCAGAGCATTATAATCAACGAGAGATCTAACAAACATCATAGAGAATAGTCTAGCATATTTAATATTAATACCAATATTCTTAAGAGTAAGTGTTTTCAGTGGTTTTAGTCTTTCTTTTAATCTATGGTGTTGATCATTTACAATGTCACTGTTAATACCAACTCCAAGGTATTTGTGCTGCCTACACGTTTCAATGTTCTGGTTGTTGACCTTGAAAGTTATAGGGACATGAGTTTTCACTTGGAGATGGAGAACTCTGGATTTAGTTAAAGAGATAACAAGACCACATTCAATGCTTTTAGCAGCGAGTGAATCACGTAGAGCTTGCAGTCTAGTTTGGGAATTTGCAACAATACATATGTCATCGGCATAACAAATGACGTCTTCGTCAGGTAGTGTGGGAATATCAATTGTTAATTTGTGCATCAGAACATTGAACAGTGTGGGACTTAGCACTCCACCCTGGGGTGTACCCAACTCAAAGGGTGCACAAAGTTTACTTTTTACCCCCTTAAAAAGGACTGAGGCGGTTCTGTTAATCAGGTAACCCCTGAGCCATGACAAAAGTCTTCCCTTAACTCCAAAAGAGGCTAGCTGTTCTAGGATGATTTCTCTGTTTGCTGTATCAAAAGCAGTTTGGAGATCAATAAATGCCGCCTGAGAGTTTGGTCCCTCTTTGATAAAATACATCAGTAAAGCAAGTTAGTGTGCTTCTTCCAGGAAGGAAACCATACAGGTTAGGGGCAAGGTGGGGCTTGATTTGAAACATTAGTCTGTCGAGAATAATTCTCTCAAGAACTTTACTGTCTGAATACACAAATAAACAAATGGTACTCTATGGGTTCAGTGCAGAACATTTCACATGCACCCATTTCGTGAATGTGGTGCATAGGGGCTGACCACTTTAAGGTCGAGCATGAGGCCCGATACCAACCGTTTGACTCTATGCAACAACCTTTAAACCCAGCCGGTTCCGCGACTTCCAATGTGTTAGTCCTTGACTTGGTACCTGTCCTTGCTTATCCTCTAAATCGTCTTCTGCCATTACTATGGTAATGGTTACTTCTACGTCACCAGGCGAGACTACGGGAGCTGAAAATGGAACCACTGTCGAGGCTTGTAGGGAGTCACTCCCAGCACATTGCAACTACCATTCCTCACCTCCAAGACCCATAAGCCAGACCCCTAGCGATCTTCCTCCCCTAAGGGAAAGAAGGTCCTAGCCTCCAACTGAAGTCTCGGTTCATGCAGGTCCGTG